GAACGTAGTTCATGAACTTGGCATGATAATTGATTCACAGACTTATTCATGGGAGATTTTGTATATATGTAAAACATATGAGATTGTTAACTTGAATATATATTAAAGAGTTTTGATTCATTTCACACTACTTTCTGTGCTGTATTCAGCTACTGTACATTACAGCTCAGCCTGCATAGATAAACCCTGTATACTAGTCCCCTGGTATGACCATCCCTGCCCATGTCCTTTTCAATATTAAGGAATGATGAGGATACTATATCACATTGTTTAGCAGTCAGTTCTTCAAGCATAGCTGTCATGAATCTTGAATGATGTAAGCATCTTTAGACACAATCAATAATGTAACTGCTGGGAGGCGGGGACAGTCACACTCAGACACGATACAGTTCAAATTCAGCTAATCTGAAAGTGGCCATGCTAGCCTCTGTCTAAGGCTATAATTAGGTTAAGACCTATATGGTGACTGTTAGCATGTTCACATTGCCGATGTTGACATACCAATGCTCCAAAGGTCACGTTTGCGATATTCATTATCTTATTTTAGCTTGTTGCCATGGTAACATATATTAACTGATGCAGAAAACAAAGGTGAGGGCATGTATTAAGTTTTCCTGGCATTTACAAACCAAAGCGTTCTACAAATGTTAAACATGACTGATCAAAGTTATTATGGCTAATTTAGACTAGCTGGACTTTCAGGGATTCCAAACCCTGCAGTAAATTTCTACAGGTGCAAAGAAGTAGAAGTAGAAACCAACACTGTGAGCCTGTCTTACTGAATGGAGGAAAAATAGAGTGTTATCTGGACCAAATCTGATATCTTCCGATCTGTGGACCAACAAAATTTACTCTAAAACAATGAAGGCAAGGGATGCAACCATTTTCATGTCCAAAACTTAATGTAGCTGACCTACGATTCCCCCAGAAAGCCTACAACATAATGCTTCCTCTCTGGTTGTCCTCTCCGGGCTGGTTTTTAAACATTCCTCTTCGGGCTTAGAGCAGTTGGCAGGGCTGCTGTGATCAGTAGGGCCTGCTGACAGATGGACATTCATCCACCTGCTAGTATCGCCTCCGGCATCAGCTTCACATTCCTCAGGCGGTGTCAAACTGTCAGAAACACACTGTGACTTTATTACATCTCTGTTTCTCATCAGTAACACACGGTTTAAAGTGAACTTGGGTCACATGACAGATCCTAAAAAGTCGAAACTTTGTTTTGCTTTTATGTTGTGAAGTGAGTCAAGCTTTTAGTTCTTCTATATCGAAGCATTCAAATGGAAAAACTAGACTCTTTTAAAATCTATGCAGACCTGCAGACTATAATCCGCATATTACATTGACAGACACTAATGTTTAATTTATGTTGTTGTGGTTGTGCGCATTTGTGGAGGTATTTGCCTACAGGGAGCCTAAAAAAGGGGCTTTCAACTGCCACAAACATGCTCAGTCTGTAAAAAAACTTACTGCGTGTCGCTTGTGCATCTGTCAAATGCTGACATTTTGAGTGGGCCAGAACAGAAAAGGAAGAAAAGCTGAAAAGAAAACAAAACTCCAACACAGATTAAAAAAATAAAAAAGACAGCATGAAAAGTATGTTATAATCAGTGTTGGGTAAGTTACTTTAAATTAGTAACTTAGTTACATTACTAGTAACTAGTAATCTAGTATCATAAGTAACTCAGTTACTTCAAGTTACTCGTTACTTTCAAAGTAACTAGTTACTAGGGAAAGTAACTTTGGTTTTATTCATAATTCTCTTGTTAATGTGTTGCCTCCATAACTTTGCCAGTCTTTTGACTAGAGACCAGCCCGCCATTATAGGAAAAATCATAAAGCCTTTGAATGAAAACAAACGCTGTTGTGACAGTGATGTTCACTGTTTTGATTGTATACAATCGTTTGTTGTAAGACTCAGATAATTATTTTTTAAAAGCTGGACATTTTAAATGAGAATAAGAGAGAAAAGTATTTCCTTGTGCCCCCCTCTCCCTGTTGATGCCCTACCTGGCCCCCTGGCAACACTTTGCTAGCCCCTGCACAGTTACCAGCTGTCAGCTATGTAAAAAAGGATCCTGGTGTTATTTGTCTCTCAGAAACAGTTCATAACTTCCCTTCAACTCATTCATGTCACCTAAAAGGTAAACCTGTTTCTCCATCACCTGTTCAGCTCTGATGATTCAGTAAGGACATCTCCTGGTTTCATCTTCATGTTTCCCTCTCACCAGATAACCAAACAGATATCATGACCAGCAGCTTTTACAGCTGTGGCTCCTGCAAACATCAGCTGATACTAGAAATTAATATTAAATAAATTCTAACAACAGCTGATCAAGCTTAAACGTGCTGCTGTTGTTTAGCGCAACATCCGCTGTGTTTCTTTTCACCTCAATACGAAACGCGTGATATTTTCTCTGAATACGAGACGATTCCGTTTTTTTGGCAACTCTAATGAACCTTATGAACAAAATAAAGTTCAACATCATTAACATCATAGCACCCACCCAGCTGTATAGAAACTCCATCATGCTAGCTAGTACGCAGTACGAAAAAGTCAGAATAACGAAAATAAACTCCACCTAAACTTGGGTTATATCTGACACAGACTGCAGGTCATAACTTCTTACCTGAAGTTCAGTTCACAATTGGACTGGCGGCTGCCTCGGGTCTCTCTTCCTTGTGCGTCCCCTTTCTCTCATCCACCTGCTGGCCTCCACCACTTGCTAATGTTACTGAATCTGTGGAAGCTCCGCGATAGCCACCACACGAAGTAACGAGTAACGACCCTATCTAAATCCCAGTAACGACTAACGCGCTCGTTACCACAATAATAACGTAGTTACTGTAACGCGTTACTTAATAACGCGTTAGTCCCAACACTGGTTATAATTCAATCTTCTTCATGACAGGCCACAAGCAAGAGTAGAGACCGGCTATAGTACAGACTTCTGACACTTGCCCCATCTAAGGCAGACACTTTCTTTCAACAGGCTGCCAACACTCAACTACTACTGAACCATAATTTCACTATAATGGATACACACCACAAACTTGATGTGTAGCGACTGCTAGCGGCACTAATTATTGACCAACTGGCAAATATGCTAGCTAGCCAGGAACCCCGCGCCTTTATAGCGCTAGTCAGCAGCAGCTCCTCGTGTCCCCAGGTGTTGTTTAAGTCACTAAAGACGTGTTCAAGAGGGAAAAAAATCATTAAGCTAATCTAAGTAAAACTGTTGGTACCACAACACTAAAAAAGCAAAACATTAACTTCTAGAGCTGAAAAAATGAAGCAAATGCAGTCGTATAGATCCTTAAATGACAACTTGAAACTCAAAAATGAACATGCTTGCAGTCTGGTAAATAAATAAAAATGGTATCTTTGACTAATTTATAACTAGTGTTTTTATAGCTGAACTTAGGTCACGTTTATGTTTGGTTTAGGTCACGGGAAGCTTTAAAGGTTAAGGTAGAGTCATTAAGGTTGCACTTGCTTGTTTTTCTGCATGTACATGTGTTTTAAGCATGTTTTGTGCTAGCACCCCATCAAATATCACTGAATTACAGCTGCACCCTGCTAATCAAATTAGCTAAAACTGCTAGCCACTTAGCAAACTGTCCAGCTCTACTCTGTCATCCAAAATATGATCATATCTGGCATAAATTCCAAACTGGAGGCTTCAAACCATTGATTCAAAAACCATGTTTGATGTCTGTCTTTTATAAACATATATTTAAATAGTTTCGTAGATGCTAAAAATCTACATTACTAAAAATTTCTGCTGTTTTAAGCTACCTTATGAGAGCAGCTCACCAACTTCAATAGTTCTACCATATGAGATAAATTAGTGTTTCTTGTCTTACCGCATCGTATTCCTGTACTGTAGTCATTGAATGTGTGTGTATTCTTCCATGAGTAATGATATTAAGATTACTATTACTATGACTCGCTGATTATGTTGTCTGGGTGGAGGCACTGCATTAAAAGTAACAGTGTGTTATAAAAGCCACAGAATACACAAAAGATGAAGGTGCTGCAGTTAGTCTGCAAGATGTGAACTGAAACTTTGTCTGAGGCTATTTTTATGAAAGCGTAGTGTAAGTGTCCATAGATCTCTGTGATTATGAACCTCAAAGCCACAGATTGTAATATTTTTTGTCATTATATGAGGTGATGTTGTGATTATTTACAGGTAAACTATAAATCGCTATCATGTTCCTCTGTGAGCACCGTTTCTCTTGGTTCAGGAAAGTTAACCTTAGACTAATCAATCTGTCAGGTCTGAAGCATTTTATCATCCAGGTATTTTTGTGCAAGTCTGTATAAGTCAGTAGTCCTAATAAAAACTTCACAAAAAACACACAACTTAAGGTCATGACACATGGTGTGACCTTTTTAGCTGTTAATTGTGTGGGTGAGGTATCATGAGAGTCAATGAGCAGCAATTATACAAATGGGATTTTGAATGGATGGTCATTATCAGAAGAGAAAAGTAAAGTTGATGTATTTAAATTTGTTTTGTTCGAGTAGTCACGGTTCTTGTTTAAACCAATTTTTTAATTGTTCTTTTGAAGCTTCCGTACATAATTTGAAAATTTATGTATTCAAGTAAAGATTCTGAAAATACCTTTTATAAAAATTAAAAGTCAGCTCATTATTTGGACAAAGATTTGTAAAAACTGTAAAAATGAGCCCTGCAGTGCTGTTGTCACTTGTACCTCCGGGACTTGGTTTGTTTCTGTTTAAACACTTACTAGTTAACCATAAAACACAGCAATAGATGTAGAGTTAGCATTATGTCAGTCATCCTTTCTCTCAAACAGATGGTTCTCCATAGGGATCAAAGGTCATGTCAAAGGCCACGTAAACTTGGCCAAAGCAGAAGTTACAAGTGGAAAAAGCAGGTGATTGCAGAACACGTGACTGTGGGAAAGGATGCACTGTTTTCATTGCTCTGTTTCTTTTTTCTCACTCTCTCTCTTTATTTTTTTTGCAGACCAAAGGAAAAAAGAGGCCTTCGGGGAAAAGGATATTTCTATTCAAAGTGTATTCACTGATAACTGTGATACAAGCTTGTTGTTTTTTTTTGTTTTGTTTTTTGTAGCATATACAGTAATGTGGAAAAGTCTTGAGCCAACCAATATTTCTTTGTATTTTGCGAGACAAATCGGAAACATTTTTTATTTTTAAACATGTCCAAGTATACGTGGACGTACAATATGTCATTGTACGTCCACGTCCATTTCTTAAAGTAGCCTTCAGGAATAGTTCTCCAGGCCTCTTGAAGGACATTCTAAGCTCTTCTTTGGATGTTGGCTCGGTACCAAACGACTGCGTTTGGGGACCGCTGGCATAGTGGATAAAAATCTGATGGATGTTTCTCTGAAAATGTCAGGTACTACGACTGGAGTGAAAAAACAGCCAATGTCCAAAGAAAAACTTTGAAAGACCTTCAGAAAGCCTGGAGAACTATTGATCAAGACCCTGCTACCAGAACGTCTGGCTTCTTGAAAGCAAAATACTTTTTAAATTGAGGTGTATCTCAAGACTTTTGGACAGTGCTGTAAGCTTTTTCAAAGTTAATTGTTCGCTTTTCGTTGTTTTAGTAATTACTGAACTTGTCTTCTGAATATGTATTGTGGCTTTTATTCATCACTGGTCAGGTCATAACCCCTTCAATAGACTGGCGCTCTGTCCAAGTGTGTACTGCACCTCTTACCCAATGGCTGACAAACACCAATCAAACCATTTTGTTTGGTTTACACTTATTGTTAACCAATCAAAAACAAACAAACAAATATGTAAATTTTATTTAAAACATTATACATAATCCATTTGAGAGGCACACAAAAGCACTTACTACACGTTTTTGCCATATTGTAAAAAAAAAAAAAAAGTGTTATAAATTTACAAAGTGAGTGTGAAGCAGAGAATATGCATTCAGATTTGCTCACTTAATAAATACACTGGCTGTAAGTGGTAATCATTTCCAAAATGGTTGTTTAAGAATCACCCGTTTCAGGCATTCAGAAATAATGTAAAAGCACTCCTAACTAATGGATCTATTAACTAATCATTTAAGCACAATTTTAAACTAAAACATGCATATTAAGGTTTTCTACATTGGTATTACTGGCCTTGATATAAATAATGTAAATAAATCCATGCATAAGTGTGTGTATATACAATGATTGGCTTGATATGGTCACTGCTACTTCACCAAACAAAGTTATTTGAATGCTGGCTCCAAAACTCTTTACTCATTTTTGGCATGTATTTGTAAAATATGAATAATATGAAAATGACAGAGGCTTGTCAGCTTGTCAGATCTGATCAAATTGTGCTTTCCTCAGTTTAAGAGGAAGTGCTTTACAGAAGCTCCATTTTGCTGTTTTACATTCTTCCTATAACAGTGTGAAGCTTCGTGTTGCACCACTTGTTATGACGTGACTTTCGTTTGAATTTCATTTGATTTGTATTAAATAAAAACTTTTTTTCTTTGTCCAGAAGCCTATTTTTCTTCCCCCACCGTTAGCAAATAGTAATTAACATTTGGTGAGGTGTAACACTGTGCTGCACATAGGTTGATACCTGCTTCTCCTTTTAGTGTAGTGAGTACTAATTAAATCTGAACATATTGGCTGAAAGGAGAATCATATTTAATGGTGCTGTACAGCAAATTTACATCTACATGAATACGATTACAGACGCGGCCGTGCAATTTAACACACAATAAAGCCCAATTAACTGCCATGTCCATTTTCAGCTCATCGCTAATAGACTGGCCTATATTTATGTTTCCTGTCTAAATTCATGAGGCACATAATATTCTTATAATTTCCATCTACAGCAATGAGCTGCCCAGTGTTTGGGGCCGATCCAGCTGCTATATCCAGCCTGTTTCCATGGGCTTCCGCTCCCCTTTAATGACAAATGACAGCATCAGCCTATATCAATCTGCCCCACAGGATGCTTTAATCCGCCATTAAGCAGATGAAATGTTGCACTGAGCCCGCAGAGCAGCAGTGACGGCAGGAGCGGTTCTAAAATTCGTATGCACACCCCTCCGGCCTGACCGCAGTCATGGACACCCTGCGTCAAACCACCCAGTGCAGCAAAACACAAACCTCTTCCTCCTCGGAACTGGATCCAAAGGTCTCAGTTATCCCCTATTTATACGCAGTGTATATTTACAACGAGCTGGATGATTAGGATGCTAGCGAGTAGCGCAAGAGCAAAGAGAATGTGGGGGAAATCTTCCTCGGCTATTCTGAGGAGACAAGGGGTTTATCAGGGGTGAGCCACCTCTCTGATGTCAAAGCTTGTTTTCAAAGAATCTGTCAGAGCTCCTTTACCAAGGTGCTTATCACCTCCTGCAGCTGATCCCTAACAGCTTTTTCTTTTATAACTTCTACATAATCAGATAATTTATGTGAGGCTGAGATCTAGACTGCAAAAGACACCAGGGAGAGAGAAAAGAAGAGAGTCGGTTACACTGAATCAGTGCACAAACAGCAAGAGCGTCATTCACAAATCTATGTGTAACCACAGTTTTTAAAACCACCCACGTTGAGATGTTCAGGACTCAACACCCTTGATCTTTCTTTCATCTATGTGAGATGAGAAGGTGGAAGGTTTTCCAACGTCTGTGTTCGTGTGGAGCAGTTAGTGCTGATCTGATCTGCAGCAACAGTGTGATGTGATCAAGTCAGAGTCTGTGCCACGAAGAATTGAGGCAGCTTTGACGGGAAAAGGTGGTTCATGCAGGTAGTAGCTTAATAAAGCCTGGTGAGTGTATGCTTGTATGCCAAGAGATGAGGAGAGAACCACGAGGCACAACCGCAATCTGATTCAGAACTAAATATACGGTTGGACAGGATGCAGCACATGATCGTCACCCACATAGCTGTCCTCAAACGGGAGCCTTGAATTATGCCAGAAAATCCAAAATGTGAAACAAATGATGCAGCAAAATGTGATGTGATGTTTATAATAATGTACTGAGATATCCAGTGTTTCTGAATATCTTCATACATCAGGTATTCTGGTAACTCTACAGACACTTACACATCAAAAGCTGGAGAGAGCTGTTTCATCTACTTTAATAATAGTTGAGATGTTCATGCCTGAAAAGAGTTGCGGGCACGCTGAGAATCTGAAGAATGAGCACTAAAACTTTCAGCTTTCAAAAAAGCAAAACACCCATTAAGGCTTATGTCAGCGTGTTAAGCTGTGGAATGTTAAACTAGTTCCAGTTTACTAAGTCGCTTTCTTGACCCATTTTTTAAAACACTTCCCATCTTTCTTTCTTTTTTAAATCAAAGACAAACGCAGGCGAGGTTGATGCCAAATAAAAAGTTACATAAATTTAAAAAAGAAATTCCCTACAGTTGTCAGACTTGTTGCAGTGTCTGATGGTTCTCACACAAATGAACAAATAAATAAATAAATAACTTGGGATCATCATACAAAACAAAAAAACAAAATCCCAGCACTGCTATCACCTCCAGCTTCTGTGTACGGTGATTTTGTCAGCTATAAAATCACACACAGTCACCTCTTAACTGGATTACCATTGGAGCCAAGAAAACAGCATGCTATGATTTACTCGTGAAAGTGGCTCCTTTGACACTTTCCTCATGTTTAAGTCAGCCATGCTTAATGCTTATGATTATGTTTAGAGGGAAGAACGCAAAAAGGAGACACTTTTAAGTGTAAATCATGGTACGTGACACAAATTTAAAGTCAAGACATGAAAGACAAAATCATTTATTCATATATTTCATGTGAATCCATCCATTACTCGTTTGACTTAAAACCAAGAACGCCCTCCTCACGGTGGTGCTAGAGGGTTAGTCCGCAGAAGAAGATCTATCCTTTTCCCGGGGACCTTGAGCGTCTGCACAAACTTGCAAGGCAATCCTTCCAATAGTTGCTGAAGAGGTGTTTCATTTTGAACCAGCGAGCTAACAATGTGAGCCCTGGAGCGTGACTAAAACGAGGGGGTAAAGTCAACAGTTTGTGCTGAGAGCATGTCAAACTGTGAAACGTGTTTACTAAAGAGCTTTGCATTCCCTGTTCTCTGAACATGATGACGCAGACCAGGAATTGTGGGAAACTGAGGAAAATAATCAGCAAATCCTGGATTTTGCCACCGTTGCTGTTAGGGATAAAAGGACGAGTGCTTTGTTTTCCATTTATCACGATGTCATTAGTGCTGCTGTCATCACAGGCTTCCCCCTGGATGAAGAGATGATCCTGGGCACCAGAGGCTGGCATCACACCAGCTTCTTTCTCTGTTTATCTTAGACACTTATTAAAAGCATGTCGTGTCTTTAATGTCTAATTTGGAGAAATGCAAGTTAACCAGTTAACCAGCTCGACAGACACCTTAAGCAGCTGTCATCGGGTGATTTATACACGCCTGTTTCATCAGTCATGCTTCCAGCCCAGCAATCAATATCAGGCTTTTCTAACTATCTGAATGGGAAGTTCTTGTTTTTAAGTCTTCACTTTTTTCCTCACTATGGGAGGAACGTGGAGAGTAACAGAATATAAAAAGCTTACTGTGTTTGTTTCTATAGTTACACCATTTGGTGCATGTCCCATTTTTATTCTTGGCCGGTCAAGCGAGGAGGGCAAGATTTATTTAGAGGATGCAATGAAAAGTGTGATACAGAATGCTGGGATGCTTATGGCATCTCTGCTATTTGACCCACACTTAGAGGAAGGTTGCTGAGTGGTTCACAGCGTTGTCCTAAAAGCTTTACCGCCACCGATAAAAAAGCAGCACTTTCACTGAATAATAATTCTAGCAGCTCTGAAGGTTCATTTTTTACTATATTGAAGCATAAATTGCACTGAAGTGTCCTACCTAGCAACAAATTCTTCCATACAAGCAACTCATTATCAGTCCATAACTGGACAAATTTACTGGTGTGTTAAACTATTTAAAAAGAAGATTTTTCCTAGTACGTAGAAATGTCACAGTCAGCGGTTACAATAAAACGAAACTCAAACATTTCCAGCGTTGCAGCTGGAAGGAAAGTGTGAAAATGCTCGAGCGCTGCACATGGATCACTTCATCAAGTGTCAGGCTCAACTTAAAAGATGACC